ATGCTTGATAGCAAGATAGATCTGAAGTGTCTTACCAGGGTAAGTTGAATCTGTTGATTTAAAATACAGTTTTATTTTCAATCCCCTAGTTCGTGAACACTTAGTTTCCACATTTGCTATGTGTTAAAGTCTAAGGTATTTGAGGAGTACACTCTATTAGATTTATCGAGAATTATCGCTTAATATCTCCTGAATTAATTGTGCTTGAGATTCGATAACTTCTACAAAAAGGAACTATATGAGGAACTGGCGAATTCCTGATGCGGGACAGTGGAGAGGTAATTAGGAATTAGTTCCCGAACTAATTAGTATTTTAGTAGTAGTGATATTATTAGTAGTGGTAACGGTTTTTCCTATTTTTCCTATTTCAGTATTGAACGCAGAGAGCCAGTGTGAAGGAGAGTGATAAGCCATGGTACAGGGAAAGATTTCACTGAGGTAATTTTAATTGGATAAATTAACTGATTAACTACACAATATGTAATAACAATTCGCCAATTAGAGAGTTAATACTTATTTAAGTTTATTGAACTCTTGCCAATTTTTATCCAGGTTGCATCTGAGTTGAACATGAATGGGGGAAGCGGTACGGGAGTTGGAAAAATGGCGAGTGATATGGTAGCAGGAATCTCTTCTTATCTCAATTAAATTCCAAATGCACTCAAAGACTCGTTATTGGCACAACTTATTTCAGATATTTACCTTGAACAGGACTGCTGCGCAGTTTATTTTCGACGGGGTCCACAAACCAAGTTTTATTTCAGTTTTCGAAACGCTTTCAGAAACAATTATTGGTATAGAATCCGATGTATTATTATTGTATAAAGTTATTTATCTATTGTGTTTCAAAAGAACCGTGAAAACACTGCGTTGTTGAATCTTAGTGAACCTTCCGTCCGGCACATATCTCAACATACATGAGACGCGCAGTGCAATAAGTGGTGAAAACATAGACTTTGCAAGATTCGGGTCCTGCGCGGGGTAAAAAAGCATGCTGATGGTAGTCTTTTCCCGCTACACGCACGGATCGACGCGACGTGTGCAATAGCTGTGATACGCTACGTCGATTTAGTCTTCATTCGGTGAACAATTTCAGGCCATTAAGTGCAAATTTGGAACATGAGTATCGTTCAGTACTTAGACCCTGAGGTATGTAAATGAAACGAGCAGCTTTCAAGTATAAAGAGCTCTAAATGTAAGAAATAAGTTACATTTTTATATGTATGTTTCGAGAGTCCCCCGTAAAACTAGAATAAAAATTAAACACAAAGAGCACAAATAATCCTAAGTAATCCGCTTCGAAATCGTTAGTCCACCTAATAAAAGTTTCTTCCATCTACGTTTTTGGATAACGATCTTTGAAAATCCTCCGGCAGAATTTAAGCAAAACTCCTTTGAATGGACTCAAAAAAAGGTTTTCGTGAAATATATATAGTTTTCCATTTCTTTCCAGTCTCCTTGCCAAATATGAACTTTAGTATTGAACTTCATGATAAAAGAGAAGGACAGTGCAAAGGACTGCGACGTGAGGAAGATGACGATGAAGGGTAGAGGGACTGTGTGGAGACACCACCACGCATTGAGGCAAGGGAGAGTTCCACGATCCCATACTGTCGCATGAAACTGTACGTAACCAACCAAACGTACCCTGCGGGAGTTCAGTTAAGGAAACTGACTTCTAGTAAATAAGGTGAGAAGTTGAAGTGCGTAAAGTAAGGGACTTTACTCGGAGTGTAACTGAGTGAGTGAGAGCCAGATTTGCAGTGAAAGGAACTATGTCTCCAGTAGAGAATGGTGGGTTTACCATTGGTAACGGGCAGGTGTGGCTGACGTTTCTGCGTGTTGTACCGTAGTGTTATGTCGTTGCAGCCACCTGGTGGGTTGTTACCATAATCCTAATTCAGTCTCGCTAATGTGAGCTACAAGGAACTCGTTTTTTTGAATATATGATCTGATTGCTCAAGATTTACCCTTCATCTACAATGAAAAACTCATTTTGAAAATATCTTCGAAGAAAATAAAGGTCGACTTTATGAAAAACTATTACTTTGACTCAGAAACTTTTGAAGGCTTACAAAATTCTTTTAAAGTTTTTACATGTAGGATGAATGTCTGAAAATCAATCATGACATTAAATTTGAACAGAGAAAGCGTCTGTCCTAAAGCACATCGTGTCATGCTCTCATTCTTAACCACGTATCACTATCAGTGATCACTAATCAGCCAAATCGGACATGGACATTGGGCGGTGACCGCGCAGTGCAGTTTAAACTAAAAACTCACTCACGAGTGCAACTGAAAAGATTATGATGGTGACCGTCCAGCCTTTAGAACTACCTGCAAGATGTCCCGTCGCACCCTTATCTCCAATTTCTGTGAGAATAATACTAAACTTTATTTAGAGCTTGTTTGTGGTTATTAACATTTTTAAATCAGTAATGTGTTTTGCGTATACTCACTATCGTCTATTCCAAGGAACCAATCCTAAATACCCCAGTGCCAAAAGATAGGGTCGTGTACGGTATTCACGATAACTTAAAATGTAATTATGTGCTAGCTGCGTATGTATCTAAATTTCTCTATAAAATTAGACACATTTCCTTTTTGTGAGATTAGTTTCCGTTCTTAACCTACAAAAATGCAGCTGCCTCTCAATTCTGATGATACTCTATGTCCTACTGATTCCACGGCGTGGCGAGTTCTGATGCATTCAAAATAACCATGTCGACTAGAAGACAATAGAAGCTCCAATTCTACCTAAAGAACCGATGGTGATAAAGGTTGAGGACGGGCGGTGACGATAACCTTCAGGCCGAGTTGAGTAACGGGGCTGCTACAAGTTTTGTGGGGGCTCGTGTCCCTCCTACCCTTACAATGAAACACTAAAGTGTGGAAAACCCTTCGACCAGATACAAAACCACACAGGTTTACTACATCGGTACGTTTTGAGTGGACATGGAGACCTGCAAGTGCGAGGGGGGGGGGGGGGGGGGTGGGAGTTGGCGAACATCCCCTACCAGATGATCCCTGACTCTTCTTTGACCCGAACCTCCTCGACTTCTAGGCGTAGATTCTGATAACGATTATGAGAGTGAGGTGATTATTACGGTGGTAACTCGATTGATGCCAAAAGGTTCCAATTCGATAACCAATACATCATGTCCTTTACCGACCAAGATTGAAAACGACAAGTTCAAGTTCCTGATCTACCATCCGGACATCAATCCAAGAACAAATGGACAGTGCGTTGGACTGGTTTCATGAACTCGGGCAAAACAAACGGCACCCTGCCAATCGATCTCCACTACGAACCTGATGCGTTCGATGCCAAACAATACATCATTTCTAAATGGTAAGTGGAGGATAATCAAATTGTGAATGTATGTGATTGTGATGGTTGACTGTAGATGCCTTTAATAATACCATAAAATTGAAATTTGCAAGTGTGCAATTCTGAATTCGAATCATAAACCGCTAATCATATGTTTGTAATTTTTATTTATCGTTTTACGTTGAAAAAAATTAAGATCACCATTGACCAAAAATAAATTGTCGTTATTGGATTAGTAAATATAACCCAACAATGACAAATCAAGTTCGAAACCTAATCTTATCATCATAAAGTTCGTCAGAAATCATTTTTGTTCCTGCGGTCCGTCACAGTTCGATTTAAATAAGTCGATTCGAGTAGGTTTTAACTGCCATGCCATGTGCCGCCTTGCCGCGGAGACCCTTACTTTTAGAAAAGTGCCAGTGTATTATCACTAATTTAAAAAGGGTCCCTCCCCCGGGGGGGAAGTCTCTTGACAACCAAGCTGGTCTTTAGAACTGTTATACTCCATCGACATAATGACAGTAACCTATACTACCAAGTTTACCAAAATATTATATTACTTTACTACACTTGACAACTGTCAAAATGAAAGTTTCTGGTGTTTCTTGTCTCACGTCCGCGTGAACCCTCATCGTCATTTCAATTTAGTGTATCGGGGCGAAACCACGTCAACGATTCGATACGGTCACGATACCAGATACTCGTGCGCGGCGGGGCTTACTATGTGAGGCAAGGTGTTTCATAACGGGCCTTCTAATTTTTAACAAAACATTTTGACCTCGTGAGTCGAATAAGAACACAGAAGAATTTAAGAAGATGTGGAAATAAATTGCGTTGAAGAGACTAGAAAAGTTAAACTGAAGATATAATGATAAAATATAATTTGTATCCGACCCAGTTGAATTCTACATGAAGTACAGCAATTGCATTGGCAATACACAGTGCCCTGTAGCCTGTTATGGTTTGTTTGTTTGTAATTGTTTTGCCGTCCCAATCTCGTATCGAAAAACTGACAAAAACTCATTTTTTGAAGTGAAAACGGGTGTACCCTCAGAGTGTGTTCATGGGAGATTAGAAATATGGTGAAGAGTGGGGAGATTAGAAATATGGTGAAGAGTGGGGAGATTAGAAATATGGTGAAGAGTGGGGAGATTAGAAATATGGTGAAGAGTGGGGAGATTAGAAATATGGTGAAGAGTGGGGAGATTAGAAATATGGTGAAGAGTGGGGAGATTAGAAATATGGTGAAGAGTGGGGAGATTAAAAATAAGATGAAGAGTGGGGAGATTAGAAATATGGTGAAGATTTGAAAAACGAAAGTTTCTTCATCAAGTAGCACATATTATATTAGAGAAACATACGATTTCCCAATTCACCATAGAAAACTTTTGACAAATAACTTAAAACCTACTCTCTGAAGGTCGAGGGGCTCAGCCAGAACATATGTGTGACGTCACATACCACGTGAAATGACGTCACACCGCGTGAAATGACGTCACACCGCGTGACATGACGTCACACATCACGTGACAATAACTTAAAACCTACTCTCTGACGGTCGAGGGGCTTAGCTAGAACGACGTCACACACCACGTGACATGACGTCACACCACGTGACATGACGTCACACCACGTGGCATGACGTCACACACCACGTGACATGACGTCACACACCACGTGACAATAACTTAAAACCTACTCTCTGAAGGTCGAGGGGCTCAGCCAGAACGTAAACAGAATCTTGTAGAATTCTATTGCCAGGTTCTCTCTTAGGTTCAAACCTGAAGTTAACAGTTAGATTCACAGCTCGCTAATTTATATTGTGCTATTACGTGAACGTGATATCATTAATCATTTATCACCAAATCCAATCAAATGTGTCAGCGACTCAGCTAGGAGTAACGTTCAATTTCAAACATTACAAGTGACATGACGCCACACACCACGTGACATGACGTCACACACCACTCGACATGACGTCAAACACCACGTGAAATGATGTCACACACCACGTGACATGACGTCACACACCACGTGACATGACGTCACACACCACGTGACATGACGTCACTAACTCACTGGAATTGAACTCCTGAGAGCTGCGGGAATCTGCCCTCTAACTCTGGGTATTTAGATACTCCGTTCTCTAACGCCTTCAGCAGCTGGGACCCTGTGTAACAAACAGTAATTACAGGTAATTATAGGTAATTACAGGTAATTATAGGTAATTATAGGTGATTATAGGTAATTATAGGTAATAGTTAATAAACTAACTTAAATTAGTATTTGTCAGTATAAACAGTAAAATCATTTGGTTTACCTATTAAAATCTGTAAAATTATCATAATTCATCATACATCTTTAGAACAATAAAATATACCACGTGACATGACGTCTGACCACGTGACATGACGTCACACATCAAGTAAGAGCTTACCTGTGCACTCTAGAAGAAGAAGCTCGTCCATTATCGGCAGAATTGCTGATAAATCTCTCATTCGGAACTTTCCTGGAGGAAATATACAGTCTGATCTCATCGTTCCACTGTGGAGATAATTAGGCGATAATTATGTGATAATTGGACGATAACTTGTGATAATTGGACGATAATTATGTGATGATTAAGTGATAATTGGATGATAATTAGGTAATAATTAGGTGATTATTGTTTTTTAACTTTTTGATTAATTAATTGATTGATCACCTGTTAAGTATGGCCACATCTGCTCGCAATGCAACTCTCATAACATCGGTTATAAAATTACCTGTCGAATAACAAAATCGTTAACTTTCATCAATTATCATTGACAATATCCACTATCCACTAACTTAAAAAGTATGCTTTTGTATCAAACGTAAACAACTGAATAGCTTAGTTAATATTTATCATAAATTTACTTAGTTACATAAAGTAAGTAAATCAATTAAGTAATTAATTGAAGTTAAGTTAAGTTACCCATATTAGTTTCTTCAGTCCTGACTTCACTAAATCTTGTTTCCAAGGGAACCCCAAACTCTCCTATTATTTTATCCATTTGAGCGCCTACTTTTTCTGTAAATAGTAGCGGTTATAAGTGTAATTATTAATTAAGGCTCTCCTTGTTAAGAATACGTGTAAATTAACTGCAAACACAGAGAAGTGATTAACAAGGTATTTAATTAAAGGAAGAAGTTTGCGGAGGAGAAAGTTTGCGGAGGAGAAATAGTAACCTTGGTAATCAGCCACGTGCAGTTGTATATTTTCGTTCTCAGGAATCTCCGAAGTGATGATAACTTTCTCTACAACTGTTTTAACCTGGTATTGTTCCGGTCATGTGTACGGGAGTGGTTGATGGTCGAAGCTGATTGGTTATTTTTTGTCACGTGTCAAAAATATATGCCTCACTTCCCCACTAAAATTCACATTTATAAATATTACAACGATCCAACGCGATCTATTTCCTAAACATAATACCTTATTTTCAGAGTCGATTACTAAAGTTACTTTAGACAGTTCCCTGAAATCTGTGCCACTCTTGATAATCGTTCTGTTGTTTACCTTTTGAAGTTGATAAAGTTAAACCAATGCTAGAAAATAAGTAAATTATTTCGTACTGGAGCTAGAGGGTGGTTCTTGATTAAGAGTGATTAGTGTATTAGAGTGATACGGAAGTGTTTATTAGCATGAGATTTCAAAATACATGCAGTCATTTTGCAGCGTTTCAACAACTATTAAGAGTACACTAATATTCTGTTTTCCAGTGCATGTGTTATTAAACCAGGCCATATGGTCCAATCAGAAGCTCTTAATAGCTCCAATCAGGACGCGTTTCCATGGTTACCTGTTCAACCCCGTAGTTATGGTCATGTCCTCCTAAAATGAGGTCCACGTGCTTTGCACAAGCTGCCAGTCTCCGGTCATTATTCCATCTCATGTGAGTCAGCGCCACCACCAGGTCAACTCCGTGTTCTTCTTTCAGGATACTCCCTGCGACAATCATCTTAGAGATTTACCACTTTCTGCAGTGGTCAGTCGCTGTCATGTGTCAAAACAAATTTGTACCAAGTACTGCCAGCACATTGCAGAGCACATTAAGATTAAACAAGTGTTAAGAAATATTCTGTTCTGTCGGCTAATTGAGTTGATCCGCGTTTGAACACTAATGGTCAGAATCTGCTATTCGCTCAATGATTTTAAAAAATAAAATGATCGTTTATTCGTGTAAACAGAAAAAGTCTTTCCATAATTCGGGCCGGTGACAAACCAGTCAAAGTTACAATTTTTCTCGACGGACTGAAGATGCGGACCGTGAAACCGCGTTTTACACTGCACTAAAAGCTTTTATTACGACATTAACTACTGTTTATGTCAATGCGCGTGACGTTATATTCCAACAATCAGTAACATCTCAGAAGGACTTTCGACAAAACTATACCAAATGGAATGGTCGAAAATCGAGTGTTTTAGTGAATAACTTAGAATATAATTTTTATTTTCTCAAGATCTGACAAATAGATTTTCTTTAAACTTTCCAGATAGTTAGATGGCTATATGAAGGATAATGTGTACGAGTTTGGGCGAGTTTCTTTCTGCCAAACTTGAGATATGACTTCAAACACAAGAAAATATCTGAAATTGGCGGTTTCTAGCGGAACGCAGGCATATATTTCGAGATTTGACTGACAAATTTTCTTTAAACTTTCCAGATAGTTTGAAGTCATATTTCAAGTTTGCACATAGAAACTCGCCCAAAATCGCACAGATTATCCGTCTCATAGCCATACAACTATCTGGAAAGTTAAAAGAAATTTTAAGGTAGCGCAGTTGGTTAGAACGCTTGTCTTACAATCGTTAGGTTGCGAGTTCGAAACCCACTGACTGCCTGGTCGTGGGGTGAGCGTCGTCGACGTTCAGCTAAGGATCATGAGTGGTCTATGCAGCCCCCCGGTCTACTCAGCCGAATACTCGAGAAATCGGGTGTGAGGGTTAAATGAGGAGCTGCACATTGCAGCAAAGTCTCGGACGAAGAAAGTATGGTACACACTACCTTAACCGTCACTGGCCAAAAAGATCCTTCGGCTTCCTGTAATTGGCTGGTTGCACTTGTGTAACATTGTGGCTGTTGGAATACACCGAAGTAAAATAAGTGTCTAGATAAAAATTGGTCAGATCTCAAGATAATCGACTTTCGTCAAATATCGTTCCACGGAACAAATGGAACGGAAAGTCCAACTCTAACATCTGCCACACAAAAATGTATTTAATGTTAATGTTCTAATGTTTTTTAGATCATTTGAACACAAATTAATGCGTTACAACAAAGTTCAGCTATTGTAAATATATGTATGTCCCTCAACGTCCACACAGAACTTTGATGAAGGTGAACTACCTTACAATGACTCTATCCTTATGACCCCTAACACTACTTCTCCTCACTTTGCTGCATCTCAAATTCCTGAAGGCCCTGCATGTGACCCTTATCTAACTTATCAGGAAGATATAGTGCCTGTTGAGCTTCACAGCAAACTTATAAAGCTGCTGGAGGACAATAGTGCGGATTTTTCTTCGGTTGGTGGCAGCAGGGATGTTGTCTACTTTGGTGAACATGGATACTGGTACACAGGAGCCTATCATCAGGCAAAGGAAACTCCACCGGAGATACAAGATCTTTTGGACTGTGTGCGTCCCTCTCTCCCCAATAGGAAGAGCTGGCTGAATTCTTGCCTTGTTACAAGATATACAGGCAATAGTAGCCATATCCCCCAACACTGCGACAATGAGGTTCTTATTGACCCAGAATCGATAATAGTCACTGTGTCCCTTTGTGAAGAACGCACAATAAAGTTCACACATAAGTCGACTGAAAAGTCCTTAAAGCTCAAAGATGGAAGTGTATACGTGATGTCCAGAATGTCCCAGGAAATCTAGAATCATGGTATTGAACCCCTCGCTAATGAAGAAGATGGCGAGGAATCTGAAGAGAAAACTTCTGTGAGGTACAGCTTTACCTTTAGGCATATTGCATATTTCTACAAAAATAGCACAGTGTTAATTGGAGACTCAAACACTAAGTACATTAAATTTGGTAAAGATGTTGGAACTCTAGGAAAATGGGTTCCCGGTAAGCGAATGTGGGCTGCTAAAATCGACGATATTCCTGCTCCCAAAGACATAGGCCCTTTTCGGAACATTGTTATACATACGGGAATCAATGATATTCGAGATGATTCCAACAGACCATCCACTAGAACACTTATTGCTAAGCTTAAGAAGAAATGTTGTGAAATTCAGCAATTTTATCCTAATAGTAAAGTTCATATTAGTTTACTCTTGCCCACCAAATCACAGTTTGTTAACTCACGTATAGGGGAGTTAAACAGTTTAATTGTCGACATGGTTTATAATAGGAAAAACATGTTTATTATAGATAACTCTGTACTAGGTTCTGTTAACGGATGTATGCCCTCTAAGTATGGTAGATTCTCACGTGATGGCACACCATTGGTCAATGATGTTGTTCATCTTGGGAGAGAAGGCCTGAAAATATTTTGTATGAACATAAAACGGTGTATTGTTCAACGTGGTGGAAGTCAGTCCACGGAAAGATTTAAAGGTGGAAATGGTGACTATAGGAGTGCCCTAGGTAGGGGTAGTAGGGGTGATATCTTACCGATATGACCTCAATAAACTTCAATATTACAAGAGAGAGATGTCCAGGTTGTGATAGCAATGTACTAAGCCATCATAAAATCATAATATGTGAGAGTTGCGATACAATATATCATGCCAAATGTTCTGAACAGAGTTTTAAATTTGATCATGTTAAACAAATGTGGCACTGCAGTCAGTGTTACGCCTTCAAGTCCCAAAGGTACAATCCTTTTAACTCAATTATTTATGACAAATATGATCCCAACACTGTAGAAAGAGACGAGGATATGGAGACTATTTCAAACATTCTAAAAAACTGTAGGTATTATAACATGACAAATTTCAACCGGCTGTCAAAAAACATACTTAACCATAACAAGCCGTTTATATCTATTGTGTTTAACAACATTGATGGGAACGCATCTAACTTTGACAGCTTTATTACTGATATGAGTCAATATGATGAGAAATTTGCAGTTATTGCGCTAGCTGAAACAAACATTGATGAGGAAAATAAAGATCTATACAAAATTGATGGTTACAGCAGTGAGTACAACTCCAAAACTGATGGGAAAAAGAAAGGTAGTGGCCTTGGTATATATATTGACAATCAGTACCAATACAGCCGAATCGAAAAGTTATGTAAATGCTCTGACAATCTTGAAACACTTTTCGTTGAGATCACTAACACAGAGGTTCCACAGATTGCTGGTGTTGTTTACAGGCCCCCTAGTGGTGATATTCAAGATGCACTTGCTGAGCTTGATGTGTTGATGAAATTTCTACCGTCTAATAATGTAGCCTTGACAGGTGACTTCAATGTTGATCTTTTGGCCCAGGGACGAAACATAGCTGAATTTGAACAAACTATCTACAGTAACAATTTAATCCCTTTGATATCGATTGCCACCCATGCCAAGCCGGGTTGCAATGAAAGCTTAATTGATAATATTTTAGTGAACTCTACTGAGCGTGTCTTAGGATCTGGAATTCTTGAATCCAAGATTTCCCATCATAACCCAATCTTCTGTTTCATATCGTGTAATATTAAAGAGAGTTCAAATACTGCCAAACTTAAACCTAAGTATGATTACTGTGAGTCTAATATAGAAAGTTTCCTTAATGATATTGGAAAGGATATTTACCAATCGAACTTTTCGTATGATGAGGAAGGTTTTGAAAAATTTGTCGAAACTGTCCACGAAAAAATCGAACTGAATTTCAAAGTGGACTGTACTGCTGGTTTTCAATCAAAACGCAATAGATTGATGAATCCATGGATCACTTCTGCGTTAATTAAATCTGTGTTTACTAAAGGCTTTCACTACAAGCGATGGAAGGCTTCGTGTACCAAAATCAACCCATTAGGTGAGGAAACTTTATATCTTAAGTATAAGGAGTATCGTTCTATCTTAAACAAAGCTATAAAATCTGCGAAAAAAGCCCACTATGGGAAAAAATTTGAACTTGCTAAAGGAAATATTTAAAAAACCTGGGAATTGATCAACGAACTCAGGGGTAAATCTAAAAAAGATATAAAAGCATCATTCTTAATTGATGGTAGAATTGTAACTGAACGCCGTGAGATTGCCAACGGATTTAACATCTACTTCTCGTCTATTGCTCGTAATCTCAATTCAAAAGTTCAATCTTCTGTACCATCTCGTACGGTAATTGATGGCAATTTCAATAAAACGAAGTTTAAACAATACCTCAAGGGCAGAGAAAGAATAGTGAACTCTTTTTTTCTCAGCCCCTGTGACGAGGAAGAGATAAGTAAAATTATTGGTAGCCTTGAAAATGGGAAGGCAAGTGATATCTCTGTTAAAGTCTTGAAAAAGAGTGTAAATTATCTGTCTGGTCATATCTCTAGATTCTTTAATTGGTTCTTGGACAATGGGGTCTTTCCAAGCAAGCTTAAAACGGGCTCTATTACACCAATTTATAAAAAAGGAGACTCACGATGCCTTGATAACTATCGACCTGTTTCTACATTACCGATATTTGGCAAAATACTTGAAAAAATAATTTATAATAGGTTATATAATTACCTCAGTGCTATGAACGTGATTTATGATCGACAATTTGGTTTTAGAAAACAACACTCAACATCTCATGCCGTAAACTATTCTGTCAATAAAATACTTAATGAGATTGAACAGAAAAATCATGTAATTGGAATATTTATTGATCTAAGTAAAGCATTTGACACAATTGAGCACGATAAACTCCTGCATAAACTTGAACACTATGGAGTAAGAGGTATTGCACTAAAAACTCTTGCTAGCTATCTAACAAACCGTAGCCAAGTAACTTCTTTTCAAACTGAAAAATCGGACAAGTGTTCAGTTGAGTATGGTGTACCCCAGGGGTAAGTGTTAGGACCTCTACTATTTCTGATTTATATAAATGATATTGTGAGCTCCTCAAGTTTGGCTGAATTCGTCCTGTTTGCTAGTGATGATACAAATATTTTTGTGATAGGTCGTTCAGCACAGGAAGCTTTTGAAAAAGCTAATCATGTAATGAAACAAGTCAGTAACTATATGGAGTCTAACAAGTTACATATAAATGCAGGGAAAAGTTGTTTTATGCATTTTCAGCCAGGTTTGTCAAGAGCAACACAGACCTGTGCTAGAACACGGCCCTTTAACAGGAATCTAACGATTTCAATAGATGGCAAAAAGCTAGAAAAAGTTCAATGTACAAAATTTCTTGGGGTGATAATAGACGAACAGCTATGTTGGGAACCACATCTTAATCATTTATCTTTAAAGCTGAACTCCAGTATTGTATCGATTAAGAGAATTTGCAAATTCATTCCCAAATCTGAATATTTGAAACTATACAATGCTCTTTTTATGTCACATCTTAGCTATTGTATAAGTTGCTGGGGTGGGATCCCTAAACATAAGCTGAATAAAATCTTTGCTATTCAAAAACGATGTATACGACTGCTATTTGGTAACATTCCCAATTTTGATTATAAAGAATACTACTTAACCTGTGCACGTTCAAGAACTTATAACGAACATATGGCTAAAAAGAACTACTGTCTTGAACACACTAAACCGCTATTCACTGAGCAGAAAATTATGAACCTGGAGAATCTGCACATGTACCATACATTTATGGAGCTATTTAAAATTCTTAAATTTGATGTCCCCCAGTCGATTAAAGATCTTTTCAAGTTCTGTCCTAGAAATGAAAAACTTCGTCTGATTATCCCATTAATGAGGTTAGATATCTCCCAACAGAACTTTTTGTACACCTCTACGAAAATATGGAATGATCTCATCCCCTATGTATTCGAAATATGTGATGCTAATGTAGATGGGTTGATAATCCCGGGTTCTTCCAAAAATTCAGACTTATCAGCCTCGTCAGGTATTATTAAATCTAACCTTAAAAAGCACTTGCTATCCCTCCAAAATCGAGGTGACCCTAATATATGATAACTAATCTATATTATATCTCAAATTCTACATCTGGTACGGCTCTGCACACATGATATCTCTCTCTGCCATGAAACATGGCTAACCTTTCAAACTATGATTTAAAACATAATATCCTAAACTAAAACTCAACTGGGCTCTCCTATGTCACCAAACTAGACCAATAAGCAATTTTAGCTTAGATAATTATATTTTTCTATATTTGTATAATAAGTATTATATTGACGTAGTGGATGGTTGAGGGGGTTTCAAGCACAGGTCACTCTCAAATCCTAAAGATAAGCAGTGGCCTTCGGCACTTGAAACCTCTTCAAACCTCCCCTGATTTATTTATTATTGATATTGTTTGATTGTGCCGTAAAAATAAATATTTGTTTTATTAAAATATTTGTTTTATTATGTAGACACTAATTCATCGGTCAAAAATTCAGTCAAAACCGCGAAATTTCGATCTAGGAGACGGCAGAAAAGTTTCTCTTCAAAATGTTTCCAAAATCTCTTCTTCTATTGTCATGATTTTCTGTTTATCAAAGCTTTCTTTGGGAATAGAACTATCAATACCCCAATTGTGTCTTGCAGAAAAGGTTCCAAACAACACAATATTCAGGTCTGCCTCATCGATTAATTTATATTAATTAACTAATCGGTTTCTTAACAACTACAAACCATAATGATCGGCTGCTTCCACATAGTCTTGGTACTCTATCTCCGACATCTCAATCGTACTCAATGTTTCCATCCAACCTGACTCTACCAGTCCCAATACTCCCACCTGAAATTAACACGTGACTATCATGATTGATTAGTTATAATTATAAATAACTTCAATCAACTACCATGCTAGGGTAAATGTAACATGATATACATTATATTTGAATCTGAACTGGTTTTGAACAAATTCTTAACCGATGAGCAAAGAAAATGAGTGGAAAATATAGTAGACTGCTCCTTCATAAATTTTTGTAAAGACATTTTAAACCGTTTCAATGTATCGTGAACACCATGTATTAATGCTTTTCAATTTTCAAACAAAGTTACAACGAATTCTTCATGTAGTGCATCCTGGGTTTGGACAGGATATGCCTGTTTAAATTACATAATTCTCAATAAATGTAATAGATTTGTAGTGTTGTAATTCGTTGTAATAACCTTGATATCTTTGTACTGCAACACTAAGTACTCCATACCGTCCCCTAAGGGGCGATCTGTCTCCCTGGAAATTAAAAGATTTGTTAAATCAAGTTAACAACAATTTAGAGAATTTACCATTATAAAGTTATTACTTAATTACAAATAGTGATATGAGAGGTTTATATGATACGTGTTTACATATTCTTAAACACATTCACACTGATAAACCTTGACGGTTAAGTATCAGGTTTCTATTCAGTTCCTCTTAGTAACTATGGTTATTATGCAATAGTTACTATAGTTACTATGGTTACTATGGTTACCAGGACTAAGGATACTTACTATTCAGTTAACCAGACCATATGATGTTAAGATTAGAAAATATCTCACTTCGAAGAATAATTTGTTGATGTCCACCAACTTTTCATTATTGATGACAAGATAAGAAGAATTGGTTGTTTTAAGAAGAATTGTGTTAAAAACTATGCAGTTAATTAATCAGTTGGAATTAATAAGTTAATTAATGACATCAACATGTTCTAATATCACACATGTATGGAACAGTAATTGAATATTCTTTTAATGCAGTAACAGTGCTTGTTGGTTAATATAGTGTTGTTGTAAAGGAATAATCTTAACGTGCAATAGTTCTACTGTTAATCACATTACATACAAATATGTACATATTATTATATAATATTTGTACATGTTCATGTTATTTGTTTCTTTAGGTATATTTCTTTCTTCTTTTTCCGGTCTCAAGTGATACCGACAATGGAGGTGCTTTAGATTGTAACAAACACTTTCAAGTTTTAAAACTATATTATTTATGTTTATTCAACACTGATATTAATATTGCCGCAAAAAAGAGTAGAATAACATAATATGTAAAGAAAAATCATGTATTATCAGTACAGTGACTTATTCAAAGTGCGCAAATTTGTTCTTTTGTTGTAATCTGAACAATGGATAAGCTTGTGATCGAAAGCGTTTCGTGAGTCATAAGAATAAGTACGAAGTGTTGAAACTTTTAAAATCGTGCACTAAGAGCGGGCGCTATTTAATAGCGTTAGGGAGTTGCATTATTAATTGGTAGTTGACAATTTAAATTTTTAGATACAATTTCAGTACAGTGAAACCTCTCCATGCCGGACTTCTCGGGAGAAATGAATGAGCTATCGAGGTTCACGGTATATAGAGATTCAGGGCATGTAGAGTTTTAAATAAATAAAATTTCAGTAAATTGGTAGTTGGTTTTTACTAACCGCTTATAATTTTGATTTGATAAATCTCTGAAATCATTGATATTATTCAGCAGCAGTGATCAACTTTTGAAAATACTGATTTAGGTTGAGGTATTAATTTCGGGCAGTACATTTTCTCTGCAACTTATTTGAAAGCTCTTACGTTTTTAAACATTATATAGTTAAATTATGAATTAATTATGGTTAAATATCAAATAATTAAACCCACTTGTCGATGACATTGGTCATCAACCAAGGAAAGTTACACGAACTCTTTAGCTCCATTAAGTCGTCCAGGCCAAAATCTGTGGGAATTAATAGGTCACAAAAACTAAGAATTTAGATAGATTAAATTCTACATACTTATCATAACTTTATGATTGAAATAATCCAGAATTGGTATAATCGTGTAAAAGCGCTCGTTTTAAGAACTTACTTGACATATTAAGTTTGCTCATTTAATAATAATTCTATAATCATTAATTTGACTTGCATTTCATAGTTCAAAATATAAAATTAAAATCTGGCTCAAACTATCATGTGATCATCCAACCGATATATCCACTCTACTAGCCCCTACAAATGGAAATAGAGTTTTGGCCCACCCTCAGTGGACTTATACTCACCAAAGTCGTGATTTCCATAAACAGCAGCAGCGATATTGCAAGCGTTAAGTACTGGAACCATCTGTACTCCTTTAAACATTGTGCTCACTGAGAAATAAATAAACTTTATTTACGGTAAATAAAATTTGTAGAACAGATAAGGTACAGTAACATACGAAACGAAACGAAACGAAACGAAACACTGTATTTACTACCCCGTTACTATGCGACAAAGATATTGTATAAAGATAACTAAATAATTAGATGTATCAAAATATTGGAACCAAGTGATAATCTGAAATTTTCAATTACTGACTTGGGGAGGGGTTGAAGGCATCTCCACTAAAAATTACTAACATCTCCTCCTCTGCTAAAATGTCTGATATCTTCTGAACAAACCTTGCCGCTCCCCCTACAGGTTCCTGATCTCGCGCCTATGCAATTTTACGTTAAGGATACATTATCGACATATTGGGTACATTTTAGAGACAACTTCATCAAGGCTCCAATTGAGCATTACTTTTTTACGAAAAGGAATGATATCGAAACATATGAATGAGACTTGTAAAAGATAAAATTACCTCAATGTTGTACACATCATTAAAATGAATAATTTTCACCACCCTCCCTCCATCCGGTTGTGATGTAGGAGAGGATCTCTCGTGTTGTGGATTACAGGATATGCCTGATCCCATGTTACAATCTACTGTAATCATTTTCTGCTTGTTAGTTTAATTAGTTTTAAAGATACACTTCAAATCTAACGGGGGATAACGCAGTACATATGTTGTTCCTACGTATGGGGTAGATTCTGTCTATGAGTTTTTCATCACTTCCTGACATGAGCCAGACCTCAGTTGGATCCTTTCCTTCCCTTTTTAGCTTCTGTGCTGCCTACTCTGCTGTTCTTGCACACCCACTCCTCAGTGGCCTGTTCACTTGACAGAGATACTGGCTGCCACTCCCAACATTATTCACCTCGCCACTACTGCTCAACGAAACATGCACTCAAGATCACTATACACTCACAATCATATAATCAAAACACAAAGCTAGGAAATATTTTTTTTGAATAACGTTATTTGTATATGTATATAGGTAACCGCTCTGACATGGTTAGTACCTGACACTTGTGTCAGTAGCTAACCATATGGGCGGTATACAAGCACATTACTTCATTTCATTCATTGTGTTCCAAATTATATTTTAAATGTTCAAAATGTAATTTTAAATGTTTAACTTTGGCAGACAAAATACTATACTGTAACAAAATTGATACTTTATGGTTTGAACCTGATAATGGATCATTCTTTTCGGATTTGATTTTATTACCGCTGATCTGACATTTATATCTACATTTGTAAAAAAACAAAATTTTAAAACAAAATTTGATTTTATACCCCACAATCAATTCATATTTAGTTTGTATATTAAAAGTCAAAATAACCATTCCACAGAAGTGGTTTTATTATAATAAAATAGTTTGTGATATGTGTTCAAGAAATAAATTAATAAATTAATTTACGCTAAAAAATTTACAATCAAAAAAGTTTGGTTTACATTACTACAGTATACAGCGTACATGAAAAGATAACTTACTGAATTGTTTAATACTAAATACATATTAAGTCTGACGTGGTTCAATGAATTAGCCACGAAAATGTTCAAATTGTGTAGGAGGGTAAAGGACACAATTGCTAGTAATGCTTCTTTGTGCCCGTTGACTACAATGAACATTTTGTGGAGTTTCTCCAGACGGCTTTTATCGGAGTACGGGTTATTTACTAGGTTATGCACAAGCCAGGCCAACATTTTTGTTATTGTGTCAGCCACGCTACCAGGTTGCAGAGTATGTTCAATATTTAAAAATCATACACATTTACTAATATAAGAGTCCAATCTAGCTGCAAACATTAGACACCACGTTTAAGTGAACACCGAGACACGAGGTTTATGTGTCATTTTGTAAATCACTTTTATGGATGTATGATTTAGTAGTTGTTGTAGAAAAATCACAGTCACTGCCCCATATAGCGTTATGTCACGGGTCGGATTATCGGCCAAGAATAAACGTACGTGTACGCTATAGATACCCGTGCAAATGTTGAAGTAGTGAGTAGCTGCGGCGTGCTCAGTGGCGTAACAACCGCCCCTGCTAACCCTGCTAGCAGGGGGGCGGCACCTTAGGGGGGCGGCACCTTAGGGGAGCGGCATTTTCCTGGATTGTAGGTCTCATTTCATGGAAAAAGCGCCTTATTGGTGTACTACCCTGTCGAATTTATCGTTCAGTCGACGTGAAAAAAATATTTGGGGTACCATTGTTGCTTCAGGGGGCGGCAAAAAGGTGTAGGGGGCGGCAAAAAAAGTACCCGACCTTTTTTTTTTTTTTTTTTTAGGGACACAAAATTTTAGGGGCGGAAAAGGGGCGGCAAATTTCAATCAGCAGGGGGGCAGCACAAAGTAACGTTACGCCACTGGGCATGCTTATAATATACAAAACTTGTAAAACTAAACAATAAGTCATTGAGATTTGAGTGTCATGGCTTATGATCTGAGAAACAATATGATACAAAAAGGACTAAAATTGACAAAGTTATCAAGCATTTTATTTATCTTGTTAGCAAAATTGATTGGGTTATCATATTTTGATATGACATCCTAATTGGATTTTTTGCCCGATTCTCATAGTAAGGATCTAGTGTCAACCCAATCATTTGTCACTTGATCCCACAACCATGTAATGGAAAAAAAACCATTTTGCTTTATATATTACTAGCAGGAACCCGTCTACCCTAAAGTGGTGTCACGACTCGAGAGAATAAAATAATTATTACCTATTTAATTCGCGTTTTTGACACCACTTGGGAGTCCAAATTTTGGGCACTATAATTCTTATTCCTTGGCCAATTTTTAATTTTTTCATGCTGATTTGAAGGCCATTAAAGCATTTGACCCAGTCAAAAAAGTTTCAGTTGTATATCTTTTACGGTTTTTGCGGAAAGTCGCATTAAAGTTGATGCCCTGGTGTCAGTAAAATGGCACGGATCCATATATCCATATATATATATATCGTCTCGCTTTATATATAGTAAGATATCTCGGTCATCTAAGAAGCTAGAGCTTTTATTTTTTTCAGGTAAAATGTAATTTTAATGTTAAAAACAACTCTCATTGGTCTGTGGGGTGCAAATGATGGTGTGTATATATTTTATTGTTTAAAGTATTGGTAGCAATATGGAACATCTCTGCGTTACCTAACCCATGTATTGTGCTTTACCAAAAGAAACACTTGATTTGACTGTGCTCTGGCGGCTCTGCATTACATTATATTGCATACATCACTTCATTTAATTGAATGTATATAATTTTTGAATGAATAAAATTTTAATATAATGGCAAAGCACAGTTATTTCTTCGTACAAGATGTAGGTTTACAACCTACCAGGACGCGCGCCGAGTTGGACTCAGTATGGAACAAATATTTTACGAGTATCACCCGTTAACGTACTTACCTGAGGACCCCAGGCTATTATGTTCATTAAAGATTTGGCGGAACGACAGGCTGAGCGCGGCCCAGTAATAACGTACAAGCAAAATATGAAAAAGGTTTTAAAAGTTTTTATAGTCGAAGTGCCTTTAAAGTGATTTTATATAAAAAATTCCTAATTATATATTTCCCAGCAGGGTAAATATGCAATATTGAATATACAAAATTAAATTAAATGCCCAATTGACCGAGATAATAAAAAAGATTTTTAATCAAACAATTCTTTTTCCATTTTTCCAGCGAGCTATAATACTAAGCTGTTTGGTAACAATAAAAATTCAATACAAACCCGAATAACATATTTTATATTGATAGATGATACTTTGCTCTAACCAGAGCCCTCTCGCTTGCAGTAGCGCGTGACCGCCGTACGCGCGCGACCGCAGTACGCGTATACACATGGCTATGTGAAGATGATACTTAATACTATTTTTTTTCAAAGTAGCGCGTCTGCCGTCGTTTTTTCAAAATATTAGGCCGCGTCTAGTGCTACTTGTAGCGCGATGCACTACTGGGTCGCGCGCGCATCAAATAATGCTTCTCGCAACCACTTCGGTAGATCGGCGAGATGCACCACTGTGCCTCACCGAGCTGCGAAGGATTGACATCGTGAATCAAAGTGCTACGAACTAGCTCGCGCGACGCTGGGTAAGTCTTAACGGGTGATACTCGTAAAATATCTGTTCCATATATTTTAATTGACGATGTCAATTCATGGCAGCTCGGCGCGGCACAGTAGCGCATCTCGCTACAACATATATTGGACCGTCGACGAGTCCAACTCGTTGTAGGTTTACAACGGCCTACCAGGACGCGCGCCGAGTTGGAACAGATATTTTACGAGTATCACCCTTGATTCACGATGTCAATCCTTCGCAGCTCGGTGAGGCACAGTGGTGCATCTCGCCGATCTACCGAAGGTTGTGTGGTTGCGAGAAGCATTATTTGATGCGCGCGCGACCCAGTAGTGCATCGCGCTACAAGTATCACCCGTTAACCAACTCGGCGCGCGTCCTGGTAGGTTGTAAACCTACATAATATATTTGTATACTTTGAACAAATATTTTACAAGTATTACCCATTAAATTATATTATAAATAAAAAATAGAATCCAAATTTTGTTCTCTTAATAAAGTTTTTATATGATTTGTTTTGTAGCACAATACACTGCTGATATATGCCGCGCCGCGCATCAATATTTTAAATCGTAACCACATTACCAGATCGTAGCAAAGGACTTTTGTGTACTGGGCCGCTACGAGCTGTTTAGTATAGGATTGATACCGTCAAAAATAAATTTCGAGAAACTTATTTTAGTAGTAATATATTAAATAATAAATATTAATGACGGTTTTCGTATGTTCATGAAGGATAGAGATTTTATGTTTTAGAATTGACAATTCCGCTGGCAATATAAGTGGCAGTGAAGGTATTATGATTTATATTTTAAAACCATTACTTCATTAGTAAGCTACTTTTTAAAGGCACCAACTAATTAAATTGTTAATGTCTACACATTTGATATGAGGGATTAATGGGAACAAAACTTTAAGAAAGACTGACTGATTAATGTTTGTTGTATTTATAAATCCGCTTTTATCCGAATTCATAACTGAACAATGTGTTACTTTGATTGAAATAAATTTACTAAAAGTTACTATCTTGTATCATGATTTCGAAACTATTCTTACAGGCGATTACAATTTAACAAATGTATTATGGGAAATTGGTAGCATAAATGGGAATATTACGAGCAATAATCAGTTTCTTTTAAATTAACACAAATACATGGATGATTTTAATGATAGGGTTTTTAATTGGTATTTCATGAAACAATTAGAAGTCGGCTTGTAAATGAATGAATAAATAAATTCAAAGCTTGCGAAGGATATTCCCCGGGAAAGTCTTCTTGATCAGGTCATGTGTACAAAGGATGCTTTTGATATTTGTTTTTATGGGGTACGATTTCCTATGTTATTGGAGTTATTGAATTTTAGTGTGAAAAAAATTGACTGGGATTATAGTTCTACCGAAGATGTTCAAGATAAATAGAGCAGCCATCTTCTATTTGGCGGAAATAAGATGGACAGTGGCGTAACGCCATCCTAGGGGACAATTTTGAAAAACTTTACCACGGTACTGGCATTTCCTCTAAAATCATCATTGTCCGGGGCGTTTAAAGGGGAGGCTCCAACAGGCAATAGTACGCCACTAAAGATGACTTTGGTAAATTGTGGTTTATGGTGAATTGGGGTGCAGTAGATCAGGGTTTTACTGTATATTGTATTTGATTTGATTTTTGATTTATATAATTTAATGATTAAAGAAGTAAGATGATGAATATAATAAATTTTCTGTGACCATTTAACTATTACTGAAATTACATAAATATTCACCATGTACATTTATTTACATAGTGAAACTTTCAGAACCAAACTGTATGTTCATTTCATGTATAGTAACTTTGCTTTAGTTTAATCTATTTTGTTAGAAGATTTCTTTCACTAAAACTCTTCTCTCTATAGATATGAAGCAAGTGGTTTTCATTCTTGCGTTGGTGGCAGTGTGCCACTGCAACCTGTTTGCATCAGAAACACTACTCAAACTCTCCGACATCCTTAAAGCAATGAACCTTGAGGTAACCGTGTTGTTGTTGTTGTTGTTGTTGTTGTTTTTGATGTTTTTGATGATTTTTGTTGTTGTTGAGGTAGCTAAAGACGATTTACACATGTATTTTGAAAACGCTATTAACAAACTTTTCGTATCACTTTCGTATCATAATCATATGTTCTAAATAATCCAACTCCTAGCTATAGCTTATCTTCTATCAATTCAAAAAGTCAGTTCTTTGTCAAAGAGCATTGAATGAAACGCAATATCTTGGTGATCCAATATATCAGAAGTAACCTGGTATAAATAATGTAAATTCGCATCCTTGTAGTTATATTGCATTGTAGTACTAGTTGACATGTTTTAACTGGAGAAGGGGTTCGCACAGTGGTAGTTTTATAAACCACTTTTAATTTATTGACCTATTATACCTAGTAGTAGTTTTATAGACCACATTTAATTTATTAACTTATTATACTTAGTATTTATTTTTGGTGACTGTATCACCCAGTTTTAACATTTGATAACTGTACAGTTTATTGACGACACATTGACTGAATGTTATTTTATATTCTAATCTATATTCTAGATATTTTATTTATTTTTCAACAGACGACAACTTCCTGTTTTTTTCTTCTATATTAGTTACTCATATCTCTTGTACAGGCTGTTTTACAAGGACATTGATAGATGATACTCACATTAGGCATTCATTATTGCATCTAAATTATTTCACTTGCATTAGGTTTAGAAATTTATTCTCTGGTTAACAGATTTCAAATGTTTAATTAATTTGTAGTATGACAGTAAGTTATTTAAGAAGTTATTTAATTTTGCTTGGGCTATTATATTGACTATTGAGGTTTAATGATGATATGGAATTTGAATTTTATATAAATTTACACTATGTGGTTGGGGCATTTTGCATAGTAAATATGGTTACTACTCCTATATAATATCATATTATTTGATTGGTATTCGATTTCTGATTATTTCCCTAGGAATATGATTATTATATCTCAATTTGGCTTTAGGTAGGGTGCCCCGCTAAAAGAACTGGATTCTTCCAGGAAGCATCCCGTGCACAGAGCTTGGTCTACATATATATTAAATTATTAACCATTCATTCTGTATGTGCACGAAAATTTATTTCAAAGTTATCAATGTTTCAGGAGATGGTGCAAAGCAGTACGGCTCACAAATTTGGTGCAAGTTTCTTCAAGTACTACTCTGACGACCTCCTCCCTTTACAGGTACAACACTGTAGAATAGAATACCTGTGCTTACAATGCAAAAAGAATGCAAATTTAAGCAAATTTTTCTGGTGAACCAAAAAACCTGTTTAAATAGTAATACTCTAGAGCTTGGTAGATATAGAAAACTTGGTTCATATGGTATATTGTATATAAATACAATAAAAATAAAATATAATTACAATATAGCCGTATCATTTATATATGATACGGCTATATTGTATTTAATATCAAGGTACAGTGAAGAAAGATGGCAGCAGCTGAATAATAATCTTTATATCAACTTTTGTTTCACCCAATTGCAATTTTTATTTTTCCTTTGTCAAATTTGACAGAAAGTGAATCAATACATTAATTAATCACATGTAATCAATTAATTGATTGGCGCAGTTCCAACTGTGGAAAGAGCACGCTGGTCGAGACTACGAGAGTAGCGAGGAGCACTCTGAGAGGCAAGGAATCTGGTCCAAGAACGTGAAGCTCATCCACGAGCACAACCAACAGAACAAGTCCTACTCTCTTGCTATCAATCACCTTGGTGACTTGGTTAGTTTTCAGTTTAACCAATCAGGAAAATGTATTCACGCCACGTGATATTAAGTCAACAATCATAGTGTAATCTTTGAAGCCTTTGTTCTTTTGAGGGTTGCTCCTTTTAACACAATGTTTACAAAATCTTATGTAGTGATAAATATAATATTGATATATACTTTGTAGGATACTGCCTTTTGTTGATCTAACCACGTTATTTTATTCAGCTATTTTAAGTTACATTTATCTTCAGACTCACGATGAGTACAAGAACATACTGTTAGGAACAAAGATTAACATGAAAGGAAAGGTAAAAACACCAAAATAACTATGTATTTATTTTTCTGCTATAAATCTCGTAGTAACATGAGCTGGCGTATATAACCGCGTTAAGAAGAGATTTGCGTTCGGAATTAACAGGATGGAGAAAGGGTTTGTGAGAAATGGAGCATACAACTTTTGCGCCCTGTCAAACGATCTAGATTTTGTTTTTGACATATTTGACATTGCACTGCTAAGCTGACACCTCTTTTATATGAGTGTCGTGGTAACGCAATGTTTACAGTGATGTAGACTGCCGTGCGATGTGTACAAGCTAAGCAGGTATCCTGTAGTTGTGTCCTGTACAATTATTCACATATTTAATTATTCACATATTTTGTTCACATACTTAATGTAATGCAATACCAAGTACACTCACTTGTTGTTACCTTTCCAGTACAGTAAATGTAAATATGACCCATAATTTCGTATCTCAATGTCGTACATTTGTTGTAATAAGAATTAAATCTGAATTCTAAAGGTAAAAATGACAATTAAACAAATAAAAGTATTCATTGTATTGGTCATTCTACTCCAGTAGCAGGGTGTAGTTGAGTATTCAGTACATTAGAATACTATGATAACGTATTGTATTGATGTTGAGTGAAGTACTTTATCTATTTGTAACATGTGTATAACATGTGTATAACATGTGTACAGGGTGAGTTGAAAATAGTGTGTGGAATGTACAACAACAAGATACAACAAGTACAACAAGCTATCAGTTCGTAAACGTTACACATTTCATTGTTGCATCTCATTCGATTCTAACTCATAATTTGGATGATTTTTGGCAGTTTTCCAAAAATTCATAAATTCGTCCTAATGGGGTTCTCAAATCGCGTGCCCTGAAAATCGAGTCTAAAAATATATATTCTCCTACATTTTTTGAGCATTCACCCTGAAACTTTCAGGATATGTTCTAGGGATCATTTAGAAGAGATGAGCCTGACAGAATTTTAAGATAAGCCTTTAATCAATTTTTATTTGATTTTGAAAATCGTGGACTTCGAAAAACCATCAAAAAACGAGGTCCAAGATTTTGAAAATCTAATAAAAAAATTTTAAAGGCCTATCTCAAAATTCTGTCAGGCTTATCTCTTCTAAATGATCACTAGAACATATCCTGAAAGTTTCAGGGTGATTGCTCGAAAAATGTAGGAGAAGATAGATTTTTAGACTCGATTTTCAGGGCACGCGATCAAAAATCGCTCGCGCAATACAATTACCACACACGCGCTGACCTTTGACCGGCAATAATTTCGGCTAGGAACGATATTTTTCCACGGGATCAAAAGCATCTGACAGATATTACTCCCCTCTATCAGAAACAACTAAAAAGTCGATTTTGAGAACATCTCCATGAAGACCCCCCTGCCCCCTTAATACAGTCAAGTCGGCTAGATAGACAATTGTCTTACACATTATCAATATGTCCTAGCTAATAAAGGACGATGGGTAGAGCAAATTATTAATTATTAAGCATTTTTATTGTATTATTATAAAATGTGTATTATATATTTTCATTACCTAAATATCCAAAAATTAAGTGGAAATGTCATTTGTCAACAAAATTAGAGCCATTTACATTCCACACACTATTTTCAACTCACCCTGTATAACATGTGTATAACATGTGTCATACAAGTGTCATACAAGCCTACAAGTGTTCTGCGCCATTTAAATCTCTCATTCGATCAAAATAACAGTTGTGCAGTTATAAACTAAAATCTGTTTCCAGATGCCACTGGGAGGAATACGAATACCATTTGTTCCGAACCTACCTGCATCAGTAGACTGGAGAGATCAAGGCTACGTTACACCCGTCAAGAACCAGGGACAATGTGGATCATGCTGGTCCTTCAGCAGGTGTGTGACGTGACATTGACGTGACGTGACGTGACGTGATATTGACGTGACGTGACGTGACGTGACGTGACGTGACGTGACGTGACGTGACGTGACGTGACGTGACGTGACGTGACGTGACGTGACGTGACGTGACGTTTATAAAAATGTTATGAACATTTCTACAGATAGCGTTCATTGTTTGTCAATTCACTGATTATAATTTCAACAATCAATAATGTTAATTGATTGTTAATTGACTAATAAACCAATTAACCCAGCACCGGAGCAATGGAGGGAGCACACATGAAAAAACATGGAAGTCTGGTCTCACTCAGCGAGCAGAACCTTGTGGATTGTTCTGGAAGCTATGGCAACTATGTGAGTATTGTTCTGGTAGCTATGGCAACTATGTGAGTATTGTTCTGGTAGCTATAGCAACTATGTGAGTATTGTTCTGGTAGCTATGGCAACTATGTGAATATTGTTCTGGAAGATATGGCAACTATGTGAGTATTGTTCTGGTAGCTATAGCAACTATGTGAGTATTGTTCTGGTAGCTATGGCAACTATGTGAGTATTGTTCTGGTAGCTATAGCAACTATGTGAGTATTGTTCTGGTAGCTATGGCAACTATGTGAGTATTGTTCTGGTAGCTATGGCAACTATGTGAGTATTGTTCTGGTAGCTATGGCAACTATGTGAGTATTGTTCTGGTAGCTATGGCAACTATGTGAGTATTGTTCTGGTAGCTATGTGAGTGACCAGGGAAATTGTTGTGCTGTTGAGAGCCGAAAATGGGGCTGTACGTGGGACACATCTACTCAATCCCCATATATACTCTTTTATATTCAATGTGAAGATAAAACTAAAGATCTTGTGTGTCGTTCAAGATGAATGAGGAGATAATAACCACGTGACACAAACCAACCAATCAGGGCACAGTATTAGAACCACGTGACACATACCAAACAATAAGAACTCGTGATGCCACTGCTAGACCAGTTATTTGAGATAATAGGCCAGGCTAGGCTGGCCTATTATTTCCGGGAATTTAAAATGAACGAAGGAAATAAGATATCTACTGTCTTATCATCTAACTGCAGATAACAGCTTTCTCGCGGGGGACCCTAATAAGCTAATACGGCTAGCATTTTAAAATTATATTAAAACTTTATATTAAAAATGTATATTAAAAACTTTATATTATACTAAATATATAACTTTAATACTTTATATTATACACAGTAAATACCTCTTTCAACTGGGCTTCTCGGGGAAAACAATTGATTAATAATATACTATGCTTATATTAACACAGAGATTGTTGGTTTGTGTCACGTGGTACTAATACTGTGCTCTGATTGGTTGGTTTGTGTCAGATGGTACTAATAGATAATAACATACAATTTTAAATTGTAATCAGTTTGTAAATATATCTCCTTATATAGGCATCATCTTTAAATCAATGTGTAATTAATAAGTAGGGAAAGTGTTAGGAAAGTGTTACTTAATATAGTCCTCCTGAATCCTGATAACACGTACAGATACACTTACCAGTGTGCTCCTTAATAAACTTATATTATAATTAATACACGATTACTGTGTGTTCCATCAAACTCCACTCTTTTTAATACTCCGAAGTTTACGTATATTATACGTTCAACTAACTTACATTATACAGTAGCTACTATTATCCGACATAATCATATCATGTATGTGATATATATATTAATGTAAAATGTTTATGTAGCGCGTGTAAATAAATAGTGTATCTTCCTCAGTGTAAAATATTAGTGTTCCTGACATTCGAGATGAGAGAGAGAGAGAGAGAGAGAGAGAGAGAGAGATTTATTCATGTATTAACATGGAATCACACACGCTCACTCTGAGTTGAACACACGTGTGATGAGACCCACTAGTCACGTGTTGTGGATGCTGTGTTTTGATTGGTCCAGTCCGCGTGATGGGACTCACGGGGCAGATGATTTAATATCATTACAGTCATCTCACTGGAGTAATCTAATCTGAAGGCTGAGGTCATCTCTAGAAAACACGAACCACCAATCAGAACACAGTATTAGTATGACGTGACACAAACCAACTAATCAGAACACAGTATTAGTATCACGTGACACAAACCAATCGAAAAATGAGTAATCTAATCTGAATTGTGAGATCATCACAAGAAAACCCAAACATGGTCCCTCTTTCGAGTTTCGAGTTCTGACTTGTTTTACTCACTTTTCAGTTGAGGCTGTATGTTGTCAATATCACAGTTATTTGAAGTATGATATGCATTATGCATTATAAACTTCAAAAGATGTAATGTACATTTGAAGAACGAATAAAGCAGTTAACATTGTAACAGTGTCTAAAATAACCACCTTTTCAGGGTTGTAACGGGGGCCTCATGGACAACGCTTTCCAATATGTTATTGATAACGGCGGACTAGACTCTGAGACTTCATATCCTTATCAGGGAGAGGTATGTAATGATATCTGGTTGTATGAAACTTTGTAATATTCCTGCACCAGCCCCCAGCGTCCCCTTCGCCTTCCCCAGCGCCCCTCCACCTCCCCTCCACCTCCCCAACCTCCCCTCCACCCCCTCAACTCCACAGCGCTTCCCGACTGTTACACTATGATCTGTGTAACACTACGAAATACTCTATAAAGGTTGTAACACTACAATGTCACGCAGGAGCTGACATGTGAGTACAATGCAAATACCACCGCAATAAAACTAGTATCTTTCTCTGACGTTGCACCTGGTTCTGAGGAAGCACTGAAGGCAGCAGTAGCTGGCAATGGACCTGTTTCTATCGCTATTGATGCGTCACATTACTCATTCCAGGTTTGTTATACTGATTTTTGTGGGACTCAATTAATTATATATTGGTAATGATGCAAACCTTTAAATTAGACAGGGATACCTTGCTTACTTACTAGCATTTCATATCTAATTTGAAACGTTATGTCTTACAGTTAATTCACCAAATAAGATCTTCCCAAGAATCACTAACATATTACATAATGCTGTTCACTAATGTCTGTAGTTCATCACTAACCTATATTACACTTGTTATAATCGCGCGGCTCTACTGTTGATACGTAGTAGTCCTCACATAACACCCACATACTAATATGGTTACACAACTTTTACACCTAGATCATGAGAGCTAAGTATAATCTCGTGATCAATGTTCTTCCTTCTTATATTATATAAAGGACTGTTTACAATGTAGAGGACTAGGGGTGGTAATCACATGACTACTATTTTGGAGCGCGCGATGGATATTTGGTGGTACCTCGGTAGCGTTTTAATGCGTGCTGCGTCGCGTCCCATGGACGCGCGCGCGCCCGGCCCCGGCCTGTCATATTATCTCAAACAGTGCGATTTGTTATAAAAGCATCAACAGGCGATATAAAACAGGCGATTTAATTTCTGCGATCTTAATCAGATAAGTTAAAAGTTTACCCTCAGTTTTATCCTGATTCCTATTGACTTTAACACGCACCACTCAATACAAATGATACTATTAGTGATCTAGTGTTTATGTTCATTCCTGACACCAGTTTCCTTCCTCAGTTCTACAATGAAGGTGTGTATGATGAACCAGCATGCAGCAGCGAACAGCTCGACCATGGAGTTCTGACTGTGGGATACGGGGTAATTCACTCTTTTTCACTTATCACTTTATCAGTAATTTAGTCAACTAATTTAATTTATTTGACCAGGGGGATAATTTAAAACATATGAGTGATACGAAAAGTTTGTTTTAGCAGCGTGTTTTGTTTCAGAGTTCAGATGACGGCCAGGACTACTGGATTGTAAAGAACTCGTGGAGTGAGAACTGGGGAGTTGGAGGTTACGTTATGATGTCCAGGAACAAGGGGAACCAGTGTGGGGTCGCTTCTGCTGCTAGCTTCCCCATCGCTGTTTGATCATGTGACACGAGACCTGATCACGTGATACGAGACCAGATCACGAGATACGAGACCTGATCACTGATCACGTTAAGGATTCCTGTAATGACTCAAAATGACTCTACTGCCAAGATACTGTATCATATGACATAATTTATATTTTTATAATATATCAAATTAAGGTTATTCTTTGATTCGGATTATGATTCATTTTCGAGAAAAAAGGATCTTACATTAGGGGTGGGCACGGATAGCAATATTTTTGGGTGATGTCATGAATTTTTAAACGGCCCTGTTTTTTGGGTAAAGGGACCTCCAAAATTAAAAAATAACTTGGTTTGGGGTCAAAAAAGCCCAAAATAAATATTTCCCGCTCCGTTTTCGGTTAGCGGGAGGGTCATTTTTGACGTTTTTGACTAAAATTGGCTTTATTTAATTCATTTTCACCTTTTACACCTCATTGTTACCCATGATTGTGAATCATTATTGACAAACCAGGTAGGGTGAATGATTTCAGCCATCTAAAAATTTTCTGAAGATCCCCAGGGTGCCTGTATCCATGGAAACGGGTCGTTTTGAAAAAAAATTAAGCGAAATCAGCCAAAATGTTTGTTTTTACCCTTTTTTGCCACTCTAAGACTTTTAACATGGCCAAAAGTATCCAGAAAGACCATTATTGTACATTGTAACTTGTATATCAACTATAATAGGTATAAAAACATGATGTTAGGTGTTTTAGTGGTATTTTTGGGCCTTAGCAACGCCTAGCAACGGGGCGTTTTAGGCATTTTAGAGGTTAATACATGTCATTTTAATATCTTACACTCTATTGTTACTAATGAATGTTGATTATTATTAACATACCAGGTAGGGTTGATGATTTCAAGCTTCCAGAGCTCATCTGGAGGCATATTGGGTGCCCGTAACTGTGGAAACTCGTCTTTTTTACGAAAAATTGAGATTTCAGTGAAAATTAGGGTTTTTTATAACTTTATGAATTATGATCCATAAATATTATACTACGTAGTTATCCTTTATAAACCCTATGACAGTTGTGTATTGGGAGATAAAATGGTAACTAATGTCTAACACTTCAGGGAGATAAGTTTTCCCACTATTTAGGCCCCTAGCAACCCATAGCAACGACGATTTACATGCAAAAAAAGGCATAAAATACCACTATTTGACCCAAAACTGCTGAAAATTGACCTGGGTCATGGTAACAACGGTTTAAAACAGTAAAGTGACTACAATTAAACTATTGATGTTAGGGTTCCTCACTATGTAGGGCATAGGCCCATAGCAACCAATAGCAACACCTAGTTACGTGACACGAGTAAAAACTAGAATGTCAAATTTTCAACAATTGTTCAATTTTATGTTACAATATCAAATAAACTATTTTAGAACGTGACTTTAATTGCTTTCAATCGAAATTTAAAATTAAAAGTCTTAACTTTTGACCATTTTTGAACATCGTCATGGTTAACAAAATCAAATATGACAAAATGGACCGTATTCATTTGTGAGACATCCAGTCTTGGTCGTACCTTCAATACTGATTGTCTCTGTAAGGTCTGGGTGCCTTTCCTAGCTGGCCAAATCCTGGCAAATCCAGTAACGTGTAGATCCTTTAACATAACTCATGAAAGTTATGGTTGCAGAATCCCCATTCACACTGAGGACCTCCCCTGGGTAAGACGTTTCCTCAAACAGCCCTATTACACAGTTGTTCTTCTTACATGGCAAACTCTCATCAGTATTACCAAACTGAACTTGATCTGGATTACCATGACCAATAGAATGGGGCTGTAAGGGTTCTCACTGCTCTTCAACAACTCTGGGGCTTTTCTGATACCGGTTTAGCTAGCCAATTGTTTAAACAAGATCTTGTAGAACGTGTGAAGCTTTACATTTTGTAATAACTTCCACCACCTTGGTTTCTTCACACAGCAAGTCAGCTTTCTGCTGGAACACACTCTTGAGTGACTGCTTCTGTTCCCCTTCAAATTTGAATGTCTTAAAATGTAACTTACAAACATCGACCTCGTAAGGATGGTCTTCTGATCGAATTGATACAGCCAGTATGACTGGAGGAAAGGAGGGCACGAACGAAAATCAAGCGATGTCAAATCCTTTGGGTAAGTTAATAGGTCATGATATAGGCCAGGAAGGATATGAAGTAGACGATCTGGAGGCTGCTATCATTGGCTATCAGGGTAAAAGTATTGCCCCAGTAAGTGTAGAGGATCTCCCAGTTACCAAGTCAAGCCCCAGAGTTGTTGAAGAGCAGTTAGAACCCTTACAGCCCCATTCTATTGGTCATGGTAATCCAGATCAAGTTCAGTTTGGTAATACTGATGAGAGTTTGCCATGTAAGAAGAACAACTGTGTAATAGGGCTGTTTGAGGATACGTCTTACCCAGGGGAGGTCCTCAGTGTGAATGGGGATTCTGCAACCATAACTTTCATGAGTTATGTTAAAGGATCTACACGTTACTGGATTTGCCAGGATTTGGCAAGTTAGGAAAGGCACTCATACCTTACAGACAATCGGTATTGATATGAAGGTACGACCAAGACTCACGTAACTAGGTGTTGCTATGGGTTGCTAGGGGCCTACATAGTGAGGAACCCTAATATCAATAGTTTAATTGTAATCATTTTACTGTTTTAAACCGTTGTTACCATGACCCAGGTCAATTTTCAGCAGTTTTGGGTCAAATAGTGGTATTTTATGCCTTATTTTGCATGTAAATCGTCGTTGCTATGGGTTGCTAGGGGCCTAAATAGTGGGAAAACTTATCTCCCTGAAGTGTTAGACATTAGTTACCATTTTATCTCCCAATACACAACTGTCATAGGGTTTAGTAAGGATAACTAGTATAATATTTATGGATAAAGTTATAAAAAACCCTAATTTTCACTGAAATCTCAATTTTTCGTAAAAAAGACGAGTTTCCACAGTTACGGGCACCCAATATGCCTCCAGATGAGCTCTGGAAGCTTGAAATCATCAACCCTACCTGGTATGTTAATAATAATCAACATTCATTAGTAACAATAGAGTGTAAGATATTAAAATGACATGTATTAACCTCTAAAATGCCTAAAACGCCCCGTTGCTAGGCGTTGCTAAGGCCCAAAAATACCACTAAAACACCTAACATCATGTTTTTATACCTATTATAGTTGATATACAAGTTACAATGTACAATAATGGTCTTTCTGGATACTTTTGGCCATGTTAAAAGTCTTAGAGTGGCAAAAAGGGGTAAAAACAAACATTTTGGCTGATTTCGCTTAATTTTTTTTCAAAACGACCCGTTTCCATGGATACGGGCACCCTGGGGATCTTCCGAAAATTTTTAGATGGCTGAAATCATTCACCCTACCTGGTTTGTCAATAATGATTCACAATCATGGGTAACAATGAGGTGTAAAAGGTGAAAATGAATTAAATAAAGCCAATTTTAGTCAAAAACGTCAAAAATGACCCTCCCGCTAACCGAAAACGGGGCGGGAAATATTTATTTTGGGCTTTTTGACCCCAAACCAAGTTATTTTTTCATTTTGGAGGTCCCTTTACCCAAAAAACAGGGCCGTTTAAAAATTTGGAAAATTTGCATTTTCGTGCCCACCCCTACTTACATATTTTTTTTGAGATTGCTTCTACTGTTTTGATATAGAAATATTTTCCAGTCAACTAATCTAACTTACTAACTAATCTAACTAACTAATCTAACTTAATTAAAGTTTGTTCACACATTACGTTAGCCAACGTAAGTTAGCTTCTAAACGTAATGTATGCGAATAACTCTTTACACCTTGCCTGATAGTTGGCGGCTTAATTAAGTAGTCTTATAGCGAGTCTTAGCTTTCTTACTGTTAACAACTTTAAATTTTGGGTTTTTGTTAAAATGTTATGTTATATAAAAGCTGCTTCAACATTAAATTGTATCAATCAATTAATTGTACTATAAAAAGATAAAAGCACTACTGCTACTGATTTTAATACAACCCTTAGATTTTATTATACCGCTTTAAGACAGGTAAATTCCTCGAGTGTCTATAGATTTTAAGATTAAAAGTTGTTCTGTCTATTGCTACAATATCTTATGTGTTTTCAAATCCCGTGACATTGTTTTGAATACCATATTGATTTTGTTATACTTATTGAGACTTCTGTGTATTATTTTAATATTGTATACGTAATAAAGATTAGGATAGTATCCAATCGTTGTACTAATGTTATAATACTACACAACAAAGTTTGTAATAACAGATATTGTAAAACACAACGCTGCTCTCTAATGCTTATCGAAGAAAATATAATGAAAAACCTACATTCCTACATTCTTCACCAGGCTGATCTATCAAATGCAACATTTCTTAAATAACTCCAGGGTACTATAATTTAAAATAGAACGCAAATGACGTCCATGTACATGGTAATTGGTAAGGCATCAAGTTAATGAAACACATTTTTGAGAGAAATTTAAAACTGTATGGGGCAACTCCATGCTAATTGATTCCCCAGATTTGCTGTACTCCTACTGTACTCCTACACATATATATATATATTCAGGGATAGACGCTTTGCAAGTCAATTGTAGCCTATATTTAAGTGTCCGTAGATTCAAAAGTATATTCGCAAAACAAATCCGTTACAAGCGAATCTAATTGAAGACACCTATTAACAAAATTATAGATATTATATTAAATATGAGATATATGAGATATACAATATACATTATATACAATATACATGAGAATACGAGATATGATTATGGTCCAACAATTATATCTTAACGATATAGTAAAACCTCAGGAAAACAACACATTTCATATCATGCCGTATCTATCAAGATCAAATAGTTTTAGTGTTTATGGTTATGTATCTTGATTCTTGATATATCGACTTCTTTATATTGTGCATGATTAAAGCTTCCTCTGCAGTGCTCTTATTAACAGTGACTTTATCTGTGCTCTCCTTTGCAATTTTTCTAGAGCTCCCATATTTCCTTAATATTTTCAAGCATGAGAATCTCCATCAGACATCGCTCTTTCATTTTCTCGCTCCTCCATAGTTGAAGTTCTCTCAGCAACGTTAATGTCAGCATTATCTCCTTTGACTCCAACACGATCTCCCTTTTCTTCCATTTCCAAGTTCTCCTCCTTGAGTCCCTCCGTTTTGTCATCGCCACTCTGTTGTAGCTCTTCGGCCTTAATTTTCTTCTGTTCAGTTCCCTCATTATCTCTTCCAACATCTAGTTCCTCATCATGTACGTTCATCTGCTCGAGCGCGTCAGTTCCATTTGCCATCTTTTGTTGTAGCTCATCCATTTTCACTCTCTTCTGCTCAAGTAAAACATTTTTAGTTCCATCATCGATTCTTTGTTCTTCCGCTTTCATTTGCCCAGGTGCTTCAAATTCTTTATCAACTGCAAGATTTCCTGGTACTTTGGCTAGATCATTTGCTTGCACTTTAACTCCTTCAAGTTCAGTTGTGTCCTGATGTACTTCTATTCGAGTGAATGTATCATCTTTTCTCTGTTCCTCTGTTTGCTCTTGTGCTGGTTCTCTCACCAATGCCTTTGATTGGACTCTCACTTCTGCAAGTTCGATCGGTTCCTCATGTTGTTCGGTTATTTTCGGCTGTATATTTTTATTGTGTGTTACAGCTCGCAGAACAGTATCATAAATTCTTTGTTGCTTTCTTGGCTCTTTGGTCAACTCCTTTGATTGTACTTTGACTTCCCCTAGTTCTGCAGTTTCTTCTTGAATCCTTCTCCTGAATAGAGCTACTGCTTTTACTGTTACAGCTGAATTTTTAACTCTGTTATGTATTCTTCTTAATGCAGTCAGGAAGAAACTTGTCAAGGCATCATCAAACAGGAGGGGGTTAATGACGGAGTTAATGGGAAGAACTATCATTGAAAAGTAACCGTACCATGGGGTGGCGTCCACCACCTCCATGGAGTGAAGAATGCAGATAGAAATGAAAGGCAACCAACAAGCAAAGTCAGATGCTATGATAAAAGAGATTCTTCTGTTCATTTTCGAATTCCTCTTTTCGACTTGGCGATCGTTCTGACCTCCAGCAAGTTGTCTTGATGATTTGATTGAGATAAACCCGATGAGGGTATAAGATATTGTAATTATGATAAAGCATACAAAATTGAGAAGAATAAGTGCCCAGACGAACATTCTTTGAGGGTCATCGATCTTGACAAAGTATTTGAAGAGGCAAACTCCATCGTTTCCATAAAAATCAACTTTTGTTTCTTTCATTGTGTGGTCTTTGTAGTTAAGATCATGAGAAAACATTTGCCGTGTCATCTTGTTTATCAAGTCCCAGCTCAAGGTTCTTGCTTTCATTCTTCCATAATAACCTTCCAACGTATTGAACATTTGCTGTTTGTTGGGTGTTCCAATGAACAAATGTAATTCCTCTGGGAACTTTAGCGCATTTACGAAAAAGTCTTCAAATTTCCCGATCAGTGGAGTCACAGCAATCGCTGCTGAAGCAATTGCAATGGAAAAGATTCCTGTTGCGATTTGAAGACCTTTCTTAACGTTGACCTCTCCTGGAATCCTCATTGGGTTCCATATCCCATGAATTCTGATGAGACTCAGTACCGTCATGGAAAATAAAGAGATCTGAGATCCGATTGTGCTGACGATGCCTATTACTGAACATTTAACACTTGTGATCCAATCAATCTGATGGACACAGTAACCTTTCTTGAAGATAATCGTATTATAAACAGATATCACGATAAGATAGCAGCCAATCAAGAAGTCTCCAGAGGATATGAGGATAATGAGGGATTTGTTTATCAGTGCAACTGAAGTCTCACATCGTCTCAAAGTTCCAACGTTCTTCACTATAATGACTAGATTTGCTAAGACTGCGAATATTCCGATAACCCAGGACATCACTTTAAGAACGTTGTCTTGTAGGATTTCTTTTGAACACTCATCGTTGCATTCGTCAGATAAGTTGAAACAATCAAAGACACCGTCACATACTTTTGTTTTCGGAATGTAATGGTCTGCAGAACATTTGTAATGGTTTGTGCAAGAGTTCTCATCGGATCCGTCTTCACAGTCTTTTACCAGGTCGCAAACTTTTGAGTAATCTAAACACCTGATTTTATCGTCACAAATAAAGTATCTGTTGGTATATATATCTTCGAATGAACTGGTGACAAAAACAAGGTATTCGTTGTTTGCTATGGTACCGACTCTGTTAGGAAATTGGTCCGGGCAATATTCATACCTTGGTATGGTCCTGAGAGGACATGGCGAGTTGGCACATTTGTTGGTACAGCTAGTATATACATACTGCTCCCCAAACAAGTGGTCACAAACCTGATTGCTGCTTGGAAGATGCAAAGTAGTTTTTGTGTCGACCCCGAAAAAAGTATGTTCTGGGAATATGAAGAGTTCACTTGTGCAAATGCTTTTTTGTAGTTCGATGCTCTTTAGACCTTTCTTGCAATAAGAAATTTGTTTGGTAAAGCCTTTGTCCGTGGTTAGAAGTGATACTGACTTTTCGTTCGAACTCCGGGATTGTTTGCAAATTTGGTTTTCGTTGCCACAAGTTTCAATTCCATCACACAGATCTCTTAACTCGACGTAACCAGGTTCTTCATAATCATTAGGGCAGACGAAAACGTTTTCACATGAGTTATCATTCTTGACAAATCTTTTGGTCCTGCCGATTCCACACGTTGGCCATATTGGCATCTCATCACTACCGTCCACACAATCTTCGACCCCATCTTCCAACCAAGACAGTGGCAGAGTTAATTCACCTCGGTTCCCGACTTTTCTTTTACATGTTCCCTCAGTTTGGGAACTGCATATCAGTTGCTTTTCATCTACATTTTCATCACAGTCTCGTTCACTATCACATATGAAGTGCTTATGCAGAGTGCAGGATTTTGATATTGGATAACACACTTTCTCTATGCCATCATCACAAATTTGTTCGTTTGTTTTCAGGCAAATCATATACTTAGAAACTGTAGACAAATATCCAGCTACTTTGCAAATGATACCAACTCTTGATGGGTCGGTACAGTTTGAATGACTCTCGACAAATTTCTCACAATACATGCCTGTACTGTCGGGGCCGGGGGTGTTCGATAACCATGGATATACAGATAGTGGGAAACATTTGGTGAAGTTGTGTACCGGCACAGTCTCTAAAGTACCTTTATGTGTACAAGTTTCTATAGTTGCATTTGTGACCTGACAATTTGCTTCGTCCTCTCCGTTTGGACAATCGTTGTCTCCATTGCATATGTATTGTGGAAACAAATGTCTAGATTTGTCGCCAAATTCATCTTTGCAATACATGCCATATTTATATCCATTACATAAGGCTTCATCTTCGCAGTATTTTTTATCATCACCGGGCATGTTACCCCTTCGTGCTATGCATTCGTCATCGCAAATCGTATTTTTACGTATCAACTCCCCACTAGGTACTTCCACCAAATCATCCGGACATTCTGCTTCATCAAGTTTAGAAACAGCGCAGAACACTTTACCATCACAAAGTCTATCAATTTTATTCTTAAGCATAAATGTTGTGCAAAGGAAATGCCTTCCTTTACACAGATAATTATCGCACAAATACTCATTATTGCAATTGGTTATTTTTCCTCCTCCTAGTCCTAGATTTTCCATACCTTGATCGCATGCCTGATAAAAGTGCGGATCTTTTGAGCAGATCTCTCCTTTAATAACTCCGGCCATTCGAAAGTCTCTGTAGATTTCTTTAGAATTGTGACACATATTGAAGATCTTGAAACCGTCGTAGCC